CTACCTTTTTCTTTCCTTTTTTTTGAATTTTTTATCGTAACGAAGTTTTAACGAGAGTACAATCACGATTGTTTTTCTAATTATAATCGAGAGTTTAAGTAATTTCTGGTTCGTTTCATCACGACATTATGTTGTGAATGTATTCGTAGAATCATAAAATAAAATCGTTGAGAAGAGAAAGATTTATATATTTATATATATTATCATACTAACATCCATAGTGGCACTCATACTGACACCCATACTGACATCGATCAATTTCCACCTTAGTTTCTTTTTCATTTTCTACTAAACATCTTTCTCTTCTCTATTTAACATTACATAAAATTATTATATGAACACTTAAACGGCATATTTAAATGTTCTTATAAAGATTTTAAATTAAATATATTATTATTATTATCATTATTATTATTTATACAGAGACATAAACGTTTTATACATTGAACGTTGTTTCCAAAAAAATTCTTTTCGATAGAAGAATTTTTCATTTCTTTTTTTCTTTTCTAATTAAACTAAACATGAGTTACAACACCACATGATCTCTTGTCACACAATTAATTCATTTTTTTGGGATAAGCGTAATAAGTTTATTACTGTTAGTTTAGCTACGTTTAAAAAGATAAAAATAAAAATTCCAAATAAAAATAGAAATATAAATGAACGTATAAAAAAAAAATACATATATATATATATATAATTCGATCATTAAAATCTATAATTATATTAATTAGATATTTTTTTTTAAATATAAATATATTTATTCAGAATATCCGATAGGCGTACGAAATTAATTTTATTGGCAATCCTTTTATCTTTCAACTCGTTTAAGAAATTAAATAATTTATTTGAAAATAAAAATATCATTAATATGTAAATGCTCTTAAATAATACGTTAGTTAATTCTTTTCGAAGGATTTCTTTTTTCTTCGCCCCCCCCCCTCCTATTTTCCTCACCCATATTAATAAGATGTGAATTTATTCGTAATATTGGAGAATAATAATGATCGAAAATAAAAAAAATGAATTCAAAAATTGACACCGCGTATTATTTAGCCATTGAATGTTTTTTCTTTTTTTTTCTTTACTTTTTTTTTTAAGTAGGCTCGTCTCGATGTCGATTTCTCGCAACCGATTCTCATTGACCTTGTTCATTCGACGAAGAAACGGAAGTTCATGACATCGGTGAACGGTTAGGGTCTCGTGAAGCGATATCGGTATGGTGTCCAGTTGAATAATTCTATAGAAAATAAATATATAAATACATACATAATAATTAATATAAACAAAAAAGGGATATTACTAGGAGTTTTTCGTAAACGTAACACGCACGTTATATTTGATAGATTTTTTTTTTATTCGCGAAAATGAGATTAGCCCATGCAAGATCGTTAAGATGAAGAAGATGATGAAGAAGAAGAAGAAGAAGAGGAAGAAATTTTAAAAACATTGGATCTTTTAATAAAACGAGATGTTCCAATTACGATAACGTGCAATCTGAATCTTAGTACTGATAAGAATCTTTGTTCTGGTGAATTATCGTACGATGCGTTTTAACATACAGCATTATCTTTTTTCATTATGGTCCCTGATACAATAGTATTTGTAATATATTTTATGTTTTAATTATATGTAAATATATTATTTATTTTTTAAAAAGTATATATATACATATATTTCGCATTTATTTATTTTTATAAAATCAAATTATTTCATCGTTATATCGAATAAAATTCATTATATTTTTGTTTTATCGCTCTCTCTCTTTCTTTCGGGTTCACCAATCTGTTGAACCGATTTAAAGTAGTGACATTATAGATTATAATTCACTTAAAAATTATTCGATTAATAATGTAACTTGATATCGATTGGATTTTACAAATAATCTCTCCTCTCTCTCTTTCTCTCTCACACACATACATTCATATACATGCACATATATACACACATACACATACACACACTCTCTCTCTCTCTCTAAATAACCGTTCGATAGTTCGAATATACTCAACAGCTTCCACTTTATTCTATCTCGATGGTACACATCCCCATTAACGATATGGTTTATCGTTATCGTTATATTACGAGGAATATGCGTAATATGTTTTACACGTTATCGTAACGTTATCAAGGCCATAAATTTGTCCTAACAGATTTAGCTTCCTACTTGGTAGTATGGATTAAAAAAAAAAAACAAGATTAACCAAGAAAAAAAAACAAAAAAAAAGAACACCATATAGTATCCGTTAGATTATAACATGTACAAAAAATCGGTCGTAAAAATAAAGAAAAAAAAATTCAAATAATATAATAATATAGTAATATTATTATTATTATTCATTGGAAAAAATAAAAAGATGCTATAGTACAGATAGGAAAAAAAAGAAAAAAAAATGTTTTCATACGTTTATAACTATGCTACTAATATATTACAACATAATATGTACAAATGTATAACCTTGTGTGTGTGTATGTGTGTACGATGTGATGTGAAAATTAATCAACTAAAATAATCTATCTATTGGACTAGCATAAAAGAGTGCATTTTGTAAAACGTGTTACTTGACAATTTCTATAAACTCTTGTTGATTGTTATCAGGATTTATGGGCGATCATTATCGTATATCTACTAACTTACTTAGTTACTTGAGACTTTTAAGGAAAGAAGAGAAGAGGCGGAAGGGAAGGAAAAGAGGGAGGAAGGGAGGGGAAAAACGATGTGACAAAGATGCGATGGTGAATGAGGAAAACATAGAAAAAGAGAGGAGGGGAGAGGAGAGGAGACGAGACGAGACGAGGGGGGCTTTTTGTCTTCTTTGACGTCGTTATGAAACATGTATGGTTCGATCTTCACCGATGTCCCTGACGCCGTTATACGTTATTTTTTTTCTATTTTTTTTTTTTTTACGGTAGAGTTTACGGAATACATTTTTCTTCTTTAATTTTTTTTTCTCTCTTATCTTCATCCACTTTTCATCGCAAATAATATTACCTAGAATCGATTCTGTTATAATCGATAATATAAAAAAGAAAAAAAAAGAAGAAAAAAACACGTCTAACTAAAGTAAATACATATACACATACACACACTCGCTACGACGTGTGTTTATCCCTCTAACCCCTCTGGCGTCGTCCCATCGAAGTAAAGGTATAAAAAAAATAAAAAAATAAAATAATTAATAAATAAATGATAATAAAACACTTGGTCAAAAAGATGAAAAAAAAAATTTTAATAAAATTAAAACAACGATGGGCGCGTTTAATTAATCGATTTTTTCCCGGGTTCCACGTTTGAGTCACCGGTTGAAAATCGAACTTTTCGATTTTCGATAGTATTGATCGATCAATTGAAAGATGTAGGAAAGACAAAGAATCCATGTACTGATGATCATCTTCGATGAGGTAGTGGTGTTGATGGTGGTGGTTGTGGTGGTGGTGGTCTTGCCGATGATTTACTGTTATTGCCGATGATACGATTATGACGTGTTGGTAATGACGATGATGAAAGAGCAAAGAAGATGCAAGGAGATGCATTATTATGGTTAACGTTCAAATAGAATGGGGTTCTCTCTAAATTGGCAGTTTCGAGTTAATTAATTAGCGTTTACTATAAACGCTTTACCCAATCACGGTCTAGGATTTACCATTGTTGCTGAAGCACGGACATAATGCGTTCAAAATTCTATTGCAGAAGCCACGGGCACGGTTGTTCCAGCCGGCGATGGTATTTCCTCCTTTCAAACTACTGCCTGCACACATTTTACTTTTATTTAATGGTGAATCAACATTTAACGCTAGAACTATATATAATATAGATTTAATTTAATTAACACATTTATTGGTTTCCGTCCCTCCCACCTAGTCTCGTAATCGTATATTCTATAAATAATTGAATAACGATATTGGTAATTTATATAGAATAAATTTTTTATCGAAATTTAAATTCAACATGTTTGTCGAATATAATTTTTATTATATTATTTTTGTGTTGTTGTTTCAATCGTCCCTTGTATTATTTTATATTTTAATTATAATAATAAAAATAAGAATATTAATATTTTTGTGCATATTTATTCGTAACCCTTACCAGTCAAAATAATTAGTTGCGCGGTGTATAGGTTTTATTTAAAACAAAAAATTAGTCACACGGATTGGTTCAGTAGTTTTAGTGTTAAATGGGGAAAGGGGTTGCTAGCGAAAAAAGGGTTGCGTCACAAAGTTCGGGGAAAATACTAACTGCCTACTCTCTCTCTTTTTTTTCTATTTCTTACACCAATAAAATCTACCGATAAATAAATTCAAAAATTTAATCATAAATATATTCTTATACTAAACATCCTAACGTTGTTCAATTTAGATAAATACCAAAAAAAAGTACATAGAAAAAAAATGAGGCGAATTTATGTTACAACCTAATGTATACTCAAACGTAAACATAATTGTTCTCTCTTTATCTATTTCATTTTTCTTGTATTAGAAAAATACAAAGTTAATTTCGTTTGAACCAGTTTCGTACTTACCTTCGCCAAAGTCACCTCCCTGAAACATTTTATTGATTATTCGAGTAAAATTCTAATTTGGAAGACGTTAAAAAGTCAATAACCATGTAAATTATGTTGTAAAGTATAAAGTAAACTGATGTAAACAGAGGTAACGTAAATAAAAGTTTTTTTTTAAGACTTTTTCCAAAAGAAATGATAGAGACTCTTATATAATTGAAAAATGATAAAACCAAGTGATTCTAATTTGAAATATATTTTCTTTACCTTATTTTGTTGCTTCCTTTTGGAAGCTTCCATGGCAGCTGTCTGGATAACCTCCGTAACAAATTTCGTAGTTTCCCTCATGAGTTCCTCGTCCCCTTTAAAAGCTTCTTTTCGTTGTTCCAATGTTCCGGTCATGATATTTATTTCGTGTTCCTCCATCGTAGGTGATTTAAAGGATAAATTTGTACTCTCGGTCATCATAATAATTAAAAGTTGTTTTTTTTACTGTGTTTGTCCTATAACTTACTCTTTTTTTTTTTTTTTGAAAAATCTTATATCTTTTTAAATCGTTTATCCTTAGTAATAAACGAGAATTTCCTTCATTCCTCATCGTTCAAATTCGTATTCATTTTTATTTTACTACAATATCTTCCTCGTAACTGGAAATAATGGAACAAAAAAAATGAAGAAAGAAAGATAATAAAAAATATGAAACAATCGTTAAGTATTATTTACTTAAAAAAGATATATTTTCGGTAAAAATGTTTTAACGACAGATTTTTTTGTTTATTTTGTAAAATCATTTCGTACGTTTATATTATATATGTGCCCATAATTATGAAAGTGGTCTAAGGTCATATATCTCTTGTTTCGAGATATTTAAAAATTTATATTCGAACACTATGAATTCTACACAATATTGAAATAACAAACATTATCTAACGATTCATTTTTAATAATATCGTGAAAATTACATTGAATTTATTTAGTTTATAATAATGTAGTGCGTAATAACTGATAAACTCATTTTTTATTAATTTTGACTTAGACCACTTTCATAATTATGGGCAAAAAAATATATTATTTGCACGCGAATTCTCAATTAATATCACGTTACACTTCGTAGTGTTATTTAAAAGTCTTTCTACGCGATTGTGTGCAAGGTCGTTATTTACACAAAAGGCTTTACACGCTTATATGTATATATGTATATATACATATGTACGTTTGCACGTATTTAATAATGTCGTATATTCTCGTGGGCAAGATGCCAGTGTGAGAAGAATTTACTAAAGAGAAGTCAAATTAAATGCACGAGTGCAAAAGAAAAAATAAAAAAAAAAAGAATAAAGAGGGTCAAGAGAATAATTTGAATATTTCATCGAATTCCCGCACAACTTCCTTTTTTATTAAATAAATGCATGTTAAAAAAGAATCTCTAATGTATATCGGATATTTTATTCGCGAGTAAAAAGCGAAAACTCTGTAGTATTCTTTTCCTACGTGGTTGGTACAATAAAAATTTTTTTGAAGATTGATATACGATCTAATAAAAAGTAATTGGAAACGTAGGTGTATCAAGGATGCAAAGATTGCTTATATATGCATCTATGAAAACATTTCTTTATATATTTATAATGGAAAGAAATTCTATTCTATTTCTATCGTTCAAATTATTAAAATAAATAAAAATATGAATATAGAATAATAAACGTTATTGCATACGGTAGAATAGTGAGAAAATATCATTGATTTTCGACGTACACAACGTCGTTAAGAATAAATCTTTAGAAGAACAGAATTACAACGATAGAGCCTGTATCTGTTTGTTGTTTATTCCAAAAAGAGAAAATGAAATTCACTGATGTAAGAACTCGTACCAATTTCTGGTTGCACGCGAGGAAACAAATGTTCCACAGGTGGGCACGCGGTTTCTTCTTCGAGAAGCATGTAACCGTGCGCGAGGCATGATGTTTGATTGTGACTGTTCTATGCTGATTGTATGCTTATGACGAAAACGTGTGCTCTACAACAGATCTGTCTTCTCTAACTTGAACGATACGCGTTTACGATGAAAGCATAGAGAACCACTAACCATTTACCACTAACAACAAGTAGAACACTGTCACACTACCACTCCCAAAAAATCCATCGAAGGAACCCTCACCCCATAGTTTGCCTTGTTGAACAACCCTCCTTCTATAGCTAACGTGTCATTGGCGCAACGTAAAAGAAGTTTACATTGTTCTAAATCGATTAACATCAATTAAACCAAATATAAAACTAAATTCTACATATATTTTTTGTTGTCCTCTACTATTTTTGTCTTGTGTTTAATAAGACTAATAATGTGTGCTGATCGATTATCTCTTTCTATAAAATCCTACCAAAGTTCAAAGGACGTTACGGTCCCCGGGCTACGGTACACTCCGGTAACGATCGACCACCTGCGGCCTTTCTTCTACGTTAGCCTGGCCTATTCGAACGAATATTAACCCCAAGCCCCGAACCTTGTTTTGTCGGCTAAGGAGCATGCGCCTTCACGACGCGCCGGCGCATCTTATCCTTCTCCCACGCTACCTAATCACTTATTTATACAGTAAATATATGCATACGTGTGCATGTGTTTCCCTCTCTATCTCTCGAACATGCATACATCACATATATAACCGGTAATTGTAAAACGACGAAGTCAAAAAATACAACTACTTGTAATATAAAATAAATCAAATGATTCATTTTTATTCTATTTTTTCTTTTTTTTTGACTTGATCTACCACCACAATTACCAGCAAACACAAGTATCTTTCTTTGTGTATCAAAATATACGCGTAAAAGGTTTTTTTTAAATCGCTTACATAATCTTTAATGATCCAAACGGACGACGGATAATAAACGATGAGAGAAAAAATAAAAAAGTCATCTATTTCCTTTTTGTTTTCTTCTTCCTTTTCAATAGCTGTCGTTCGCGATACGATCTCCATACTCTTTGAATGATCTTAGCTGCATGATCCTGTTTAAATTTGGTCACTCTTTCTAAAAATGCTGTCGCTATTGATTTTTCTTGTTCTTCCTTCAAATTTTGGTACAATTCGTTTTGACTTATAAAACGTTTCTATAAGAGAATACAAATAATATTTGAGAATTATGAAAATAATTAAAAATAATTGTATATGAATATAAATAATAATAATAATAATAATAATAATAATAATAATAATGTTGGTTGTTATTTACGTACATGAAGTTTATTTTGTTCTTCTTGAAGAATATTATTTTTAATTTTTAGCTTTTCTAATAATTGATGTTTAGTGCCAATCACTCGATCGTATTGTGCTAATAGTTCGATAGATTTGTCCTGTATCTGCGAACTATATAATAATATGACATTTTAATGTATTGTTAATCAAGTGATTTAATAAATAAGAAAAATGGAAATGAATATGTAAATGAATATGCACCGTATTGCTATTAATTCCTTCTCTCGTGTCTCATTTTCAGCATTCATCAATTGGATTTTTTCATCGAAAGAACAAATTTCTGCTTGAAGTAATTCTATTTTGTTTTGATACTCTTTACGAGCAGCCATTCTTTCAAATTCAGATTTTTTTCTGTAAAACGAATATAGTTTGTTCGTGTTAAAATATAAATATTATACATTAAATAAAAAATTATAATAAAATATCAATATATTTCATGACAATATATTAATAAATATTATATATCATGTAATATATTTAAAATAATCAATAAAATAACAAATAAAAAATTAAATAAGAGTAAAAAATCGGTACATCTCTTCAACCACTTTCTTTTTCGTCATTTCTTTAATAGATCGAATAATCGATTCTTCTTTCGCGATATCGATAATCGTTTCTTCTTTAAACTTTTTTAAATTCAATGTTTCCTCTTCCAACGAACGGCGTAACACTAAGAAACAAAAAAAAACGAAGTATTATTTAGAAATAATGAAAATAAGTTAATAATCGTAAGTGCAAAGATAATATGTATTCTCATCAAATAATCTTATCATCGTTTATCTAATTTCTACTTCAAGGATATAATCCTTGCACGAACGATAATTTGAAGTATTGTATAAATTTGAAACTAATATTTATATTTATTTGTTTTTATTTTTTACATTCGACATCCTCCTCTGCTATCTTTAAATCATTTTCGTAGGAGCGTATTTTAATTTTGTTCATGCGTTCAATCATAGGCGTAGTTCTCATTTCTTTTTCGATCAATATTTTAAACATATTTAATTCGTCGATTAATTTTTTCAACGTAAAATAACCCTGTTTTACGAATAATACATAGAATAAAATATTTATGTACGAAATTTGATAATAGAATAATAAAAAAAAAAAATAAAAAAATAAATATTACCATAACTTCTATTTTGTTCGTAAACTCCGTAAACAATTGAACCATTCTTTGTATCGCTATTTCATTTTGCGCTTGTAAATCCATATCTGTAAAGTACGTAACTATACACAACACATACAACAACAGATATACTGTATATATTTATGCACACATATATTCTATATCGTCTCACAAGTTCGATAACACAAGCTATCTATTAATTATAGCAGATACATAATAATTTGAAACGCATTTAACTGCCTACGCTTTTGATAACTAAAGCAATAAGGAGTTAACTTAAGAGGCTTTATTTACGTTTCTATGGCATCTATTCTCACTGGCAACGGGAGTATGACCTTTCATGAAAAAGAAAAAAAAAGAAATCGTGTCAGAGTCGTAGAAAAATTCTCGTTTGAAATAAATTCTTTAATTAGTTTTAAAATTATCATCTGAATGCGTTTCACTGGGTAAATAACTTACGAAAGAATTCATTGCAACAATGTTCGTTAAAAATTGTATAATAATAATATTATTTAATAATTTATTTAAATAGATAAAATAGAATATTTGTTGTTAGCATTTATCGTTTAAACTAGACTCTAGTTTTATTTAAGTACAGCAGCGCTATCTGTTGAGATTAAATTAAACGTAGGGTATTTCTTACATTTTGATAAAAGCATACGATTGGTCGAGAACTGGGCGGTAAACCAATCAAACCAAATGCACGTCCCTGTGAAATGCGTAAAAAAGAAAAGTGCACACATGCGTCATATTCTCTATGTGTGTTTATATAAAAGTATTATATTCGTTTATGTATATAGTAGCACACAGCATACACTGAAAGATATTCTCTAAACGACAAAGATGGCGTATCGCGGTGTTAAGGGTTCCGATCCGTTTGTATCCAAAACTTCAAGAAATGAACGTTTCGCGCAAATGTCGAAACAAGAACAGATCATACAACAAAAGAAATTAGAAATCCAAGCTAAGTTGCAAGAACAAAAAGCAAAGGAAGCCGTCGAAAATGTTAAAAAATCTAATTCGCTTGGCCTAACTTCGACAGTTAACAAAGCTACTACATCCAAGTGAGTATTTGACAATCCCTTATTCCTTATATCTTAACGAGATAAATGTTCTTTATTTATGCGATTAACATTTATTATACTCCGAGTATATTTATTTGATTCGTGTCTATTATATTTTTCGTATTCTACTCTTTTTTTTATAAACGTTATTCACTAAATGAGTTCAATCAAGAATTACATTGTCATTTGAACTCTGTTTTTGTCTGTATTTAATCCTAAGTTTGATTTTATTTTAATTTTTTTACAATTGTTACCTTTTAATTTTACCTTTTCATTTATATATATTATTACACATTACATATTACATTTATATATATATATATATATAATATGTGTGTATACGTGTATATCATTTAATTGAAGGAAACTTATAGTATTATTAAATGTACATTTTAACACAAAATAATAACTTGGATATATCATTGTTAACTGCGTGTATTGATTTTTAAAGTCAAAGTTAATAAATTTAGTTTATAGAAAGAAGTACATTTGATACTGCCATTGCATTATAAATAGATATGAAGCATTGCATCTGTTTATTTATAGGAAGGAGGACGAGAAGTCGTCTACGTCCGTGACAGTTAATTTGTTTGCCAATGATGGTAGCTTTCTTGATCAATTTAAAAAAATTGCTAACAATAAAGGAACTGGAAAACAACAACAAGCAGAGTCTAGCCAGTCGAAAAGTGAAGATAAGAAGGAAGAAAAGGTAGAAGAAAGAAATTATGATAATAGAGAGAAAGAACGAGATAGAAAATGGAGTAACGAAAAAAACAGAGATTGGGAAAGTAAAAGAGATAGAAGAAGAAACGACTCCAGATGGGGAAGAAGTTCTGACAGAAGACACAGTTCGTCGTCTAGTCCATCTCCTACCAGGCATAGATCTTCTTTGAGTCCTGATCCACGATCAATGTATAATCAACCTCCTCCGAATGGACCACGACCACATTTTAGTCAACAACAATATCCTCCTCAAAGTAATGCTCAAAGTTCATCTATACCTCCTCTGATGTCTCAGCCTGTGATGCAAATGACAAACATTCCTCCACCTAACATGAGGGCTATGGCAACGAATATTCCACCTCCTAACATCCCTAGAATGCCTCCGCCAAAAAGTGTTAACAATAATTATTCTAACGTGGATAACCATTCTAATAATCCTAGAATGCAGATTCCACCACCTCATATTATAAGGCCTCCGCCACCTCCTATACAAAATATTCCGCCTAACACCAACGTACCCCCACCGAATATGCAAGTTCCACAAAATATGCCTATGACCAGCATACAAAACTTGCCACCGTCGTCTACTTCACAACAACATATTATTCCTCCTCCGCAGCAATGCAATATACCACCACCTACTAATTTACAACCTCCAAATATTCCTCCGCCAAACATACCTCCACCTAACATGTTACCTCCGATGTCCCAGATGCCTCCAAATATGATGCCTATTACTTCCTCTCAAACAATTGTTGTAACAGTACCTAGCGTACCAAATGTACCTCCTCCTAATGTGATATCTTCAATGATAATGTCTGCGCCTCCTCCAGTTCATACAGTTCCATCTACTATTAACTCCGTACCACCTCCAAACTTGAATATTCCACCTCCAAATGTTCCACCACCTACGATAATACAGAATGCACCACCACCACCACCACCTCACTTGATTCCAACTTCCTATCCGATACCTAATCAAGTACCAATCACAGTGGGACCACCTAATGTTCAAATTCCACCACCTGTGAGACCGCCAGCTAATCTACAGAGCAACAACGAACAACTAGGTATGATATATTTATAATATCCTTTTTTTTTTATTTGCGTCACCGACTACAAGCATCGTAGAAATTATTGTAAATGATATTTTACAAGTTATTAAGATCGTTAAATATTATCAGTAAAGATACTTTTTATACGACATGAATTTAGATTATCATAAAGGAAATCTTCTTCATCATCATATATAGTAAGAAATATGCATGAAGAGTATTAGAATATTATAATACATGTCTGACAAGAGCTTCTAAGTTTGTCCCATAGAAGCCGAGCAACTGGCACGCATAGTCGCTGATTGCGGAGACGAAATAGAGCAAGAAGTACGAGAGAAGAATGCCCAAGATCCTAAATTATGGTAACTACTGTCCTCACTAGCCTTTATTTTTTATATCCGTTTTCCTACTCCTTCTGTGTATATGTAACGCGTATATACATTATTTAACAGTCTTGAAAATATTATTAGTTAATTACATATATTGCTTAATATATATTTTTAATTTTTTTTAAATATTTTTTTCAACTTAATATATATACAACCCGCAGTTCCTTTGAAATGTGTGTTGTTGCAAGCAAAACGGAGTCACAGTCTTGCATTAGTTTAGCATGTTTTATAAGGAGCATTTTTTAAATAATGTATTTTTTTATATTTTCATTACATCAATATTTAAAAATGATGAAAAATTAATAATTAACTTGTTAACGGGTAAAGAATTTAAAAAGATACTAAACTTCTTGATCTTCGTTAATAAAATACCATTTTCTTTTAGATTCCAATTTCCAATATAGTTTATAACAATATTAGAGAATTTAGTCGTTATATTGATTTGCAGAAATTTTATGATAATGTTATCCACCAATTTCCCGTGTTTTATCCACTTATATTGTAATTTAGATGATTAATTTCGTAGTGCTCAGAATTTAATATCTTTGTAACTTACAGCATATTTATTTGATAGCAGATTTGTAATATCGTTTATATTGTTTATATCAAGATTGATTCTACAAGAATGCTAACAGTGCTTTAGACTCCATTTTTTTCTTTTCAAAAATACCATTAAATATAATAATCTCTTTATAAGCATTTTCATGCTGTTAGTACCTATAGTATAATGCATGTAAACTGTCTCTAACCATATAGTGTAAATAATGCAACAAACACATTCTTTTTGACGCTAATCTGACTTCCATACTTATTTAACCTATAAACATGCAACAGGCATAGATAAAAATCGTTTTTGATTATAGTCGATTAGAAATTTGTCCGCTCGTTTTGAGAATTGCTTAGAATTTCATTAAAATATTTTCATTCTGGAAGCACTTTGTCTAGGAATATATCTTACTTGGCAGCGTTTTAAGTATTGTTTTAATCAAGGTTTCTGCATCAAAAGCAAAGTGCAGCATATCTGCAGTACAGGGGATTGGTGGCTAAGTTTCGTGCTGGAAAAACAGATAAAGACGCTAAGAGTAGTGGTGGGGAGCCTTATTGTCCAGAAGAAGCTCTTAGCGACAATGATGAAACAGATAAAAATCAGAAACATAGTTCTCAAAATGGTACGTTATTATTATCATTTCTATATAACACTTTTTTTCTCTTCTCTTTGATATAATAACATATTCCATTAAATAGAACGACCTAAAGAGGAAACTAGAGAGGAACGTAAAAGGAAAAGGAGAAGTCGTTGGAGTGAACCAGATAATAAGATTCCTATTGCAGATATAAATGCAATAACAACTCAAAGAACTCGACCGAGTATTGCGCAACCTGGAGTAGCTATACCAGGTCAAATTGGTCAACCAGCTGTCATTATACCGCCGAAAATACAGCACAATAAACCAAAGAACCCAATGCTTACCAAGATATCCAGAAATGATCCTGCATTGATGCAATATGCAAGACAAACCTTTGGTACATTGGATCTTAGTGAAGAACAGTGGAAGAAAGCTGAGGACCATTTCAAGGTCGTTACTATAACGAAAACAAATGATAATACATCTTTAACAACAAATATGTAATTATAATATGATTATAATTATTTATTCTTACAGATTAATCTTTTATACCAAAATTTATTAAGAAAGAGAGAAGAAGTGAAACGCTTAGAAGCTCAGGGTAAACACAAGTATGAGTATGATAGCGATGAAGAAACTGAAGGTGGTACTTGGGAACATAAATTAAGATCCGCTGAGATGGAAGCTACACAAATGTGGGCCGAAGAATTAACTGCGCAAGCTGAAGGAAAACATCATATCGGTGACTTTTTACCTCCAGACGAGTTAAAAAAGTTTATGGAACAATACAATGCCGTTAAGCAAGGCAAAGAACCAGATCTTAGCGATTACAAAGAATACAAGTTAAAAGAGGATAATATTGGTATGTTCTTATTATTATTTCTTTACTAGCTATAAATACATTTATTATTATTAACCATGATGTTTGTAGGATTTCAAATGCTTCAAAAACTTGGCTGGAGTGAAGGTCAAGGTTTAGGTAGTGAAGGTAGTGGTCGAATTGAGCCCGTTAACAAGTATGTTTTTTATTTTATCGTATTGCAACGATGTATTAAAAAAAAACATTTTAATTATTAATAAAATAACATTTCTTTTAGAGCTACTAATAGACTTGACAGCGCTGGTTTAGGATCTGAAAGACCTGATGGTGTTTCAAGAGATGACGACGAATTTGATGCATATAGAAAAAGAATGATGCTTGCTTATAGATTTAGGCCTAATCCTTTAGTAAGTATTATATATTTGCAATATGATGTTGGGTTAAACAAGAAATACATTATATTAAATGTCTTTTTATTATTTAGAACAATCCTAGAAGACCCTATTATTAATTAATAAAAGTAAAGATGGAATGGACTGTATTTCTATAAAAGCCTCAGACGAGAGAAGTCTTTTTTTAATTTAATATAGAAAAAAAATCATTGTTATTTTGTATATCTACAATGGCGTGATATATAAAATATTAGGTGTAGCAATGAATTTGGTGCCATTTTAAGAGATTAAGTATTTTAGTATCATACGTCTATTATTTTTCGAAATAGTATTATACTATATATTTTAATCGCTATTTTGTATTATTTAAGGTATTCAACAGTACTTTGAAAGAATATTAAAATAACCGAAAATAATTAATATTTATCTTCTATATACTATTAATAGTATTATATAATACTATAATACTATAATACTATTATATTATATATTATATAATACTATAATACTATAATACTATTATATAGTATATAGAAGATAAATATTAATTATTTTCGGTTATTTTAATATTCTTTCAAAGTACTGTTGAATACCTTGAATAATACAAAATATCGATTAAAATATTTTTAAATTTAATATCAAGACACCGAATTAATTTCTACATCTAATAATAAAAAATATTATAGACAGTAAACATTATTATTAAATTCAGATAAGATATTGCGTCGTTAAATAAAATATATAAAAGAACCAATTGTTTATATCTTCATTAATATTAATCCTTGAATTTTTAGTCATCAATATACCGTATTGTAATTGATTATATTATTTAACAGTTATATGTGTGTATATATACATAAAAAAGTTCAAGATGATGATTTCGGTTTATAAAATAATTTATTAAATGTAAAAATTTATTTTATATAATACTGTATACATATATTTAGATTATATAATTATAATTTAATTTGTACTATTAGGACGTTATATTATTTAAAGATTATCTTTTTCAATAAAAAACTGAACAAAATAATTCTGAAATTTAAAATTAAATAATCTAAAATAATAAAATTTAAAACACGTTCGCGAACGGTTATTGCACGTACAGTATTTTTTATTTTTCTTCAATACTTTTGTTAGTTTCATTTTTGAAAAAGTACCGATAATTCCGTATTATTATTATTACTATTATTATTGTTTTATTTTTCATAATTTTAACTTCATAACATATCAATATTATAAGATATTATAAAATACTTTTGTCTGATTTAATTAAAAAAAAAAAGACGTGTATACAAAAATAAATATTAACCCTTTACACTCGAGCGGTGCCTCTCAGGTACTACTTGAATCGATGCGGTAGATTGAGCAATAACGGTGTTTATTTAGATTTTGTAGGTCATCTTTTAAGGTACAAATATATTGTATCATTCGACACAATGTACACAATGGAGAAGCTTATGTTTTTGGGAAGGGTTGTAATGGGGTTAAGCTTAATGAATTTTCTTTATGAGAAATATTCTTTTTCTCTATGTTATCTCATATTTACATAAGTATTGTCTAACACTCGAAGGACCTGACACTGCACAAAGGTTTTCTTCGCACCAATATGTTCTTATGATCATTGAGATGGTTTGGGATTTTATGGCCCTTTAGAATTTTTTATACTTTAAGTAAACGATACCTTCTACCTACTGCCTATCGTCGTATTCTATATTTTATTTCATAGGCTTATCGCTGGATTTGTTTAATAGAAATATGAATATTGTGTTTAAAATTATTTTAAGTTAACTGTAAAGAACTCATGAAATAAGCGGGGGAGCAGCTGACTGCTTTCCACTTACTACTTTCGAACGTTTGATTACTCTCGAGCGGCTGATTGTTCTCGAGTTGCTGGTTTACCCGAGCGAAAAGGGCATCGAGCGCAAAGGGTTAAATTATAATTTTTTCAAAAAATGCACATTTATAAGCGTTCTGACGTAAAACTTCAAACCGTTCGACGAACGTGCGTGGTACGTATAATAAAAACAAATAAAAAAAATAAATATAACGATTTCAACATGATGAAATTAAAGAAAAATAAAAAAAAAATAGAAAAAATTTATAACACATGCGAAAACACGAGACGTGGATATTTTTTTGTTTTTTCATTATTTTATCGACGATGCACGCACGCGTAAAAAAATAAAAACAGAAAAATAAAAAGAACAGCAAAAAAAAGAAAAGAAATTAAAAGTACGAGAGAAATATTAAATAATATTCCTATCTATGAATTCTTTAAAAGTATCTTTCAAAACGTTTTTGTAAAAGTTGTTGGTCTTTAATATTTTGTGGTAGGTATCAACGTCACCCGTCAATGTTCTATTATTCGGATCTGCGTAAAAATGCAAAACGTATATCGCCATGCAAGCGGCATATTTGCCAAAAATTTTGATATGTTTTAATAAAACTTCGTATGGAAATAAAACATTGGGATTGCAATCCAAACTACGAAGACAATTCGAAAATGAATCGTAATAATCTCTTAAAAGATTATCGTAATGTTCGATTCTCATTTCGTGTAATGTGAAACAAAATAAGATATATGATATATCCAATGCAGGCGATGCGTAACGACAAACTTGAAAGTCGAGGAACCGAAGATCCTCTGGCTCGCCGTTTTTATCGTTTTTCTGAAATATACGTTAAAAAAAAGATAAATGATAAGAAATAAATAAAAAAAGCAAAAAGAAAAAAATAAAGAAACAAATAATAATAATAGCTATTATATTATATCATACTCGTTTTTTAAATCGGTATAAGAATAAAAATAAAAAACACGAAATTACAAATATAAAAAAAAAAAAAATATAAGAAAAGATGAAGAACTAATCGTATTTTTGAATCGAAATTTATAACAACGTAAAAATTTCAAAGCAAATTATACAATAACGATTACACTTCTGTTCGTATATGTACTTACAATTTAGTTTTTATTTTGTTCAATCTATCATAATATAAATWAATAAAAATGAAAAAGATAAAAAATTAATTTTTTTTTTTTTGAATTCAATTGGGCGATTCTGAATTCACTGAAAATTCAACTTCACTGAAATTTTTTTTTTATTTTTTTGTTTTTTTTCCTACCACCCCTCCACATATTTCGTAAAACAAGTCAGTAAAAATGATTTTTAAAAGTTTTTCTTATTTCTATATGTTTCTGTCCGTACTATATATATATAGAAATAAAAATTGTACACTTTAATGATTTAACCGTAAATTTCTACCTTGTATTTAAACAATATATTGTTTGTCCAAGCATCCCCATGATTTACAACAGCATAAGGTTCGGCATGGGATCCCTTGACTACCTCCAACGCTATTTGCGACATATGTTTAACAAAATTTCTGTATTTTTTCTGATAACGTTCGTCCTCATCTTCGAGAACCTAAAATTAAAAAGAAACAAAAAAAGAACACATATGAATCATTCGATGTTTTTCTTTTTCTTTATTATATTATTATTATTATTATTATTATTATTATTATTATTATTATTATTAATATTATTATTATTATTATTATTAATTTATTTTTCGTTCATTTTCTTCTTTATTTCGTTTTGCACATTTAACAAATATTTCTAGAAAAATAAAATTACCAACACGGATTTTTACCTTTTCAATTAAATCGATTAATGCGATCGAGTAATCATCGTCCTCTGTATTTATCGTCATAGGATTTCCAAAATAAAATACGGGCTCTTTTATAGATTTAAATATCTCGAATGTTTCCGGTTTTTTAGCCCTAATTGCAAAACTGTACGCGTGAAATCTTGCAATACAACGAAGAGTCAATCGTGCGTGAGAATAATCGAGATATTTTATTTCTCTCATGTGATAATTTTGATATTTCAGATCTTCTAGCACTAAAATCTGTGGGTGAAAATTTCATTAAAATAAAACTAAGTAGATTTATTTATTTATTAAATTTTAATATTCTCTCTCTTTTCTCTTCTCTTTTTCTTTAAGAAAATATACAGGTAAACCTCCAACAACACGGTATCTCATAACACGGTTTCGTTATAACACGATTCATAAATTGCGGGAACCCTCTTACAACACGGCATCCTATAAAACTGTTTTCTTTTAAAAAATCTTTGTACAACACTGTACTTCTACAGCCGCGGCGAGGCTTGTCGTTTTAAAGATACAGTGTTGCGGAAAGTATTTCTTTTCATCTCAATGGCCTGAAAACATAAGTGTCTCACGCTGTTTGTTTCGTACCGGTGCCTTAATCGGTACTATAGTATTTATCTTTCGCAGAAAGGTATTAAGGGAATGTGAATGTGTATCGATTGTAGTTGCTTAACGATAACGTATTTGGGAAACGACATTTCGAGAGTTTTTATACCAAAAAATCGGTTTTCGAAATTCCTTCCCCAAATTGATTGACCAATAACAGACGGGTCCACCCACCGGGGTCTCCCGATGGAAGAACTTATTTTTTTGGTAAGGGTTACAGTGGAGGATAAGCATAAAGGAATTTTCTTTATGAGTAATGTCCTTTCTCTCTGTGTTATCGCATGTTTACATAGGTATCGTACACCACTCGAGGGGCCTAACAATGCATCAAGGCTTTGTTGAACCGAAGTTTCTTGATAATTTTTTGAGTGTGTTTTAGATTCTATGGTCTTCTAGAATATTCCTTTTAATCTTTGAATCGAGTTTTATTGTTCGATAATGTACTGGAAAATATACTATATAGTCGGCAGTCTGCGTCGAGCCACGGTGTGTTACAGAATAACGTTTTCCTCTTTAACACATTAAGTTTCAGTCTCAAGCCATGTCCGATAAAGATAAAAAAAGAACGTTTAAGAAGAAAATTTCTTTCTTTAGAAGTCAAGATACAAATCTTGGATCGTCTTTTGAAAGAAGAAAAAGCATCTCACATTGCAAAAAGCCTGAATTTGAATGAAACAACAGTCCGGACTATTAAAAAAAATGAAAAAGACATAAGAAGTGCAGTTGCTGCAGGATCTTCGATATCCGCAAAACGTGCAACTCGCCCCCGGGCGCCAATAATTGAGAAGATGGAAAAGGCACTCAGCATTTGGATTGATGATTGCTGTCAAAAAAGAATTCCATTGGATGGTAATATCATTAGACAAAAAGCACTCAAGATTTACAAACATCTTAAAGAACATGGAGAATCCTCTGTCAACCCAGATTTTGTGGCAAGTAAAGGTTGGTTCGAAAAATTCAAAAAGCGTTTTGCAATTCATAGCATAAAAATTAAAAGAGAATCTGCGTCGGCTTATCATGAAGAAGAAGTTGACGAAGCGGATTTAATGGAAATGGCATCCGAAGCTGTAAATCAAATCGATCCTGAGAAACCTAGCACTGATGAAGATTGTGCAGTTAATAATTTAACATTAAAAAAATTACAAGAAGGCCTAAGCTTAGCTGAAAATCTCGTGTCATTTTTCTTGAATGCAGACCCTTCAGCAGAAAGAAGCCGAAAATTCAAAAGAGAGCTGCAAAACTGTCTAGCTCCATACCGAGAAATTTACAATGATCTGGTAAGAACCAGCCAGCAACGTAAAATTACAGATTTTTTAAAGAGGAAAGAAAATGCAAGAACTTTAAATGAAGAAAAAAGTTCTGAAAGTGAAGGAGATATCATTCCACCGAAAAAACGTTCTCGATTGATTAAACTGAGCAGTGATGACGAAGAAATTTATTAAACTAAAGTTGCGTTAAATTAAAGTAATATTTTTTCTTTTGTATTGTTCATACATTTATATTTTTAATAAAAATTAAGTTGTTTATTTAAAAAAAAAAAATATTTATGTGTTTTTAAAAAGTTTTCAGAACGTAACCCCCCTTTTTGCATTGGCGCTGGGTCTCATACAACACGGTTTCACATAACACGGCATTTTCTAGGAACCTATCTACCGTGTTATAGGAGAGTCCCACCTGTATTTAATATTAACATATGATTACAATTAATATATTAAACACATTAATTAGATATAATCTATATTTAAGATAATAATTTATATTTCAATAATTCATGAATTTTTTTTTTATTATAAAAGTAAAAAAAGCAAAAAAAAAGGAAATTAAATTGCCTAACCCCTTAACGTACAATTTTTTTGAAAAAAACCGACCAAAAAAAATCAATTTTTTTTTATGTAAAAAAACATAATTTAGAACATTGTCTTGGCAAAAAAATGAAAAAAATACAAAATTAATCAAAATTTTTATAGCAGCATAGAATACAACACCGCTCAAGTTAACTTAAGCGTGCAACTGAAGAAGTTAATATTTCATTACTGAAGAACACATTAAATTCAATAATTCGTCGATATAAATTATTAATAATATTATCAATGCTACTTTTAATCGCAATCTCATCAAATTTATAATATTTGTTTTGTTTTGGTTGCATTCATAGTAATTCTGGGTTGCGATATGTTGGACAAGCATGTTCTTTTTGTTAAATTTAAAAATTTATTTAATTTACTAATAAAATAAACGATTAAAATGATTTTCATCGATTTGTGTGTATCGATTATGAGAGAAAATAATCTTCTTTATCTTTTAATGATTTCTAAAATTATTTCCAAAACTACTCGATAAAATCTGTAAATAATGTCCACGAGACATCGTTTGATTGGATAAAAATTTGTATTTCTCAAAAAGATTTAATTTCCTCTTTTTTTCTCTATTTACGATCTCAGGAAAATCTTTTTTTTATTTTTTTATTTCAAACAATATTTAAATTTTGTCTAACTTGCAAGTAAAATAAAACACTAACGATGATACGCATTTCATTTGATCCGATGCAGATCGTATTTCATAAGAAATTTTTTTTCAACCTTAACCAATCTTGTAAGAAAAACAGAAAAGAAATAAACGTCGATTTTGTTTGTTAACGTTTTTATATTAAACGCATTTAATAAATCTCAGATGGTTTTGTTCATTGTTTTGTAGAGGAAAAACCGTATATTTTATACATGTATATTAAGTATATACATAACGTAAGTAAAAGGGAAAACAAAAAAAAAGGTGGAACGAAGGTGAAAGTTACCGAAACGGGATAATAATCGAAGAAAAAGTGTGTGACCGTACTAATTATAATTAGAAGAGAGAAAAAAATTCATTTTTTTAAAAATAAATTATCGTTTAAAATAAAAAAAGAAATAAAAATAAAATGATTTATTATTACGTGTTTAAAGTAATACAAATTCGATTTGATAAAATTAAAAAATAATCAAACGTTTCAAATTGTTTAAATTTAAATGATTTATATTACAACGTAATATTTTATATTTATCGGATAATAATGTAATAATATACATATATATATTCATACATATATAAGTATATTAATACGAAATAGGACAAATAAATAAACAAATGTAATATTTTGTGACAAATCTTACTTCGTTCAAATGTTCCTCGGAGAAAGCATAGATATAAGGAACATATTCGAGTGTCATATTGTAATCACGTAGAAAATCGTTAAAAGTTGGCAAAAGTTTTTCATAAAAATATATCTCTTGTTGAAACATTCGTCTTACTTTGGTATACTTTCTTCTCGAATCTAATGGTGCACATTTAGATATCAAATGTATGCTCTTATTTCGTCCATTTTTTTCACCTTGTATCGTAACACGATAAACATCTCCGATAAAATTTTCACCAGTTTTAACGGCAGGTGTTACGGAAAAACTAACGTTTGTAAAAAATTCCTTCTTGGCGATAAGTTCAACATACTTTTTCATAGATTTCACTCCTAAAAATTCATCTTTTTTCTTTTCGAAATAATTATCATCAGACATATTATCTTTTTTTTTTTTCTTAAAAAAGAAAAAGAAAGTAAAAAAATAGTAATAAAAAAGAAAAAAAATAACAAATAGTAAAGGCAAAAGTATATATATCCAATGAATAAAGTACAACAAAAAATGAAAAGCAAAAAAACTCAAAATAATGCATGTGATTATAGAGAAATAATTACACAAGGGTAATAAATAAATAAATAAACTATATAATTAATTAATATGAAAATAAAATGACTCGAATAAAACGACGACAAAATAAAAATTAAAAATCAAATCGAAGAATTGATAATTTAAATTTGTGTTTTTACAACATGTTTGTTTATATATATATATGTAATTGAAATGTCTTCTGACGAATATAAATTACTGAGATAATTATAAGAGAGAAAGTACACATGTAACGATTATAATCTTTCGAAAAGACGATGATGTAAAGAATAAACGGGAAAAAGAGGAAATCCTACCCCAGATGTATGATCAAGCGTAGAAACGACTGGGACTCTCTCGTAAGACTTACGAACCGATACTGTCGAAATTCAAAAATGACAACGATACCGTACTTAGTGTGACTCTGACGGAAGTTAAATGTTATCGCAAACATTGTTGTTATACATGAAGTAGAAACTATTTCAAACGAGATAACAATCGTTTAAATAAAATTTACATTTTTCTCTGTTATGTTAATATGTATTGATCGTCATTTGGAACAACGATTCAAAATACAAAACAATGATTTCACTTTTCTATCACTCTAAAATGGAAATATATATATTTTATATATTTTATTTGGACTTTCATTATTTTTATACAATTTTTTATACTATTACTATTTAATTTATTCTATAATTTTATATTATTTTTAACTTAATTATAATAAATTTATATTATTACTCTTTATCTCTGTGTTGTAATTATTTTATTACAGGCAATGTTACGTACTTATTCTTCCCAGTAATACGGCAATACATTTAACTTATATACAAGTTTGTTTTTTTGTCCTCTTATTTATTTTATACATCAAATTAATTTTTAACAATTATTATGTTCTAGTAAGTTATATTAAAGATTAGTACGGTCAAGTATTATTAAAAGATAATTTACTTTTGTGTTATCAATTTTTTTTTACTAAAGAATATTGATTTTTTTCCTTCTAAACGTATATCACTGGTTTTTTATCTATATTCAATTAAAATCGAATATCCAACTTTTTTTCTTTATTTGACTTATGATTATAATTATTTATATTATTTTTTTATTTAGTAATTAGAAAAAAAGAAAATAATTTCTGTTAAAATATCGATTAGAGTTAGTGTTGATAAATCCAGATAAACATTTGTTCTAGTTAAATGTATTTTATGATATTGGAAAAAAAAATTTGAAATACGTGGATAATTTCTAATTACGTTTCGAGATGGAGGATTCGATCTTGTTTGATTTATCGTCCTAAATGATTTGATATTGCTATTATAAAAGAGATAGGATTTGTTTGAAATGATCACCTTGACTGAGATATTGGCCAAGTTCGTGTTCTCGTACTTTGTACTCGATTTTTCAAACTAACACAGTTTGTCGTCCAAGATATCAGCAGTTATAACAAAAATCGTAACTTTGTATCGACATAACGTTTTTTTTCAAAATTAATTATCGCAAAATAAATGACAAACAAGGAAAAACAATTCCTAAAATTAAAAATTTTTTTACAATGATTTATGAATTGTCACAATTGTAAAATATTTGTTTGTTTTTAGTAATTTATATAAAAGATAAAATATTTCTATACAGGATCATTATTTTTCATTGTTAAGAAAATATTATGTTCCTTGGTAAAATCGTGTCTGAAGAGAAAGTAATTTCCATATGTAATATTCGTTTTGTAGATAAGTAATAATTTTTATTATTCTTCAAGAAAATCGCATACATGTTATGAGTTCATATATAGTTATTCATACATATTAGAATTGTAATCTATGCGGGTATTGACTGCTTCGCAAACCAAACATAGCTGATAAATAGGTAAATAATAATTTTTTGTCTCGATTTTGTTTAATTTTGTTTATAATAAATTTGTCCACAACTTTCTGATCATTTTTCCTTTGTTCAGTGGGCTTGTATTCCTCAGTCTTTTTGCTGAAAATATCACCTTCCTCTTTTTTTGCACGTTTGTCAAGTTTTCTTTTGAAATATTCATCATTTATATGTTCCGGCAATTTGAATCCGGTAAGATCAATACGCGTAGAAGTCGCTATGACATAGTTCTGATTAATTCTACGCATTGGGCAACCGTTAATGAGGAATGGACCTAACGTGCAAGGAATTAAATAATTATTGAATAAGAAAATAATTAAATCAAAATATACATACGACTGATCATCTGCGCAAATTGTAATTAATAGAATTAATAAGAATATGATATAGAAACCAACCTGTAACTAAGAGTAGACCGCTCTTCAGCTGTTTTAGGAATACCACACGTTTCCCTTTGTGTGATCCAGCTAACAATATACAAATAGTTCCAGGAACTAAAGAAGGTCTTAAATATCTACGATGCTCACGGAAATATTTCTTAGCGTGTTTTTTAGTAATAGGATCCGCCGTAGGATAATAAGATCTCTTTTTCAACGGAACTATCCGCTTTTCTCCGTTCTTGTCACCACCTATTTCTTTTTCAATGGTCAATGGTCTTTTAGTTTTCACCTATCGAATATGATTTGTATAAAATTCTTTAAGATGTATTAACAAATGACATATATAAATATTAAGTATTATGTTTATATATCACTCACAATTTTAGGTGTTTTTTTATCAATAAACTTGTAAATGGCTTTCTTATGATACATGCGTGACCGACTAAATCTATATACACCATTTCCTAGATCATAATTTCTAGGCTTTCCAGATTTCCTTTTTTCTTCTTTTTTAACCAAATCAGCTGCAGGTACAGCTTTCTTCGGTGATTCTGTTTTTGTATCCGACATCTGATATGAAAATAATGAAAATCTTCACAAAAAGTATAGTGACACAGGACAAGATAACCTTTTTCCACCGCCCTGGTTTCCCACACAGAGTTGTAGCGGACGCGTGTCTACAGTCACGCCTCTACAGACCTCTCATACAACTATACTCAAATGATAAAACAGACTAACAACTCATAAAACAAAAGAGAACAATAGTTAATAGCATTATACACGCTACACGACACACAACGCATTGCATCCACCACGTGTTACTAAAACTCATTTCAATTAGTTGTTACACCTATTTTGATACCGTATTATTAATAAAGCTTTCTATACACGTTAACCATTTTGTATATCTTTTATCTCGTGGTATTAATAAAAAGAGATACCACAGAGTTTACGACACAGCATCATCTATCGGATTTTTCATAAACGAAAAACTTAAGTATCGATGTTTAACTATATCGATATATATATTGAAAGTAAAATGAGCGGGAAAAATGTTATTTGATCTAATAAAACATAATTATCAGTTAACGTATTTAAATAACCATATATATATGTAAACAAAATATATTTTCTCTAATTTAAATGTGATAAACATAATAATAATAAGAAGGTTTGAAAAGAGAGATGGTTACAACGTGACAACTACATAATATAAACAGTATAAATATAAAAGGTTTTGAAAAGAGAGACGGTTATACGGTGATGAAAGAAAAGTGAGGACGGTTGAAAAAGAAGAATTCAAATAAAAATTAGAAAATATTGATTACAAATTAAAAACAGTTAAGAACGTGAATAGAGAAGTGAATGTGATAGTTACAAACTTAAATTGTCGTTTCTTTGTTCACAGGTAATAAATATTCTTTATGTACATAGTGTAAATATTCATTGAAAATAATTAATAAAACTTAATCTTTGTTCACAGAAAAAAATCTTTCCTTTATTAATATTACCTAAATATAATAGAATAATTGTCTTATAAAACGACAATTTTGGTTTACAATGACGAAACTGAAATTTGCATTAAAGCTGGTGGTATTACCGAAAGATAAAAAAACAAATGTAATTATAATAACTTCAATTAAAACAGAAGAAGATGAAGAATATGTGCTGCCACAAGATATGATATTTATAAACGAACATACAGAATTAATAAAAACAGATGTATTAAAAAGAATGAAAAAAAGTTTGATTCGAAGAAGCCAGGAAAGAACAGCATGGATTACACTACATTGGATTACAGTACATGCGAAGAACACATGAAGGACATCAAAGGACATTTTTTATTTCGTGTAGTAATTCAGTTGAGGTTTTAAACTTTTCTCTATCTATTTTATTTTCGATAAATCCAGGTAGTCCCTCCAGGTATTATAAGCATTATTAGTGTTTGACTGCCAATATCACTATCCATGTCTAGCAATAATTTCTCTTTTTTCATAGCGTAGTTTAGCAATGAACCTTCCTTATACTTATAAGCTATAGTGTATATTCCTGTACTCCAATCTCTGTCTGAAAAGATTTCCAAAAATTTTTCTTTCCATTCGAGCCATTGAGTTTCCATCGTTAACGTTGTTAAGTACTTGTTGCTGAGTACTAATCTAGACATGGTTTTTCAAGCAGTAATCTCAATATTTTAATCTTAGTAGTATCTAGAGTAATTTCAAATCTCCTGCATTCTTTTTCAAACGCTAGTATCTACTGTTTCGCGTTTGCATGTTGTGATGTAAATTTCTCGATCACGAATTTTTCTGCTACATTTTTTAGATCTAATCGGCTCTCTTTTTGTGTGAGTTCTGTTGCTTTATTCTTTTCTCTTAATTGTTCTAGGTATTAAACATTATATTCCCTTCATCATCGAAATATATTTTTTCTAGTTCTTTTGTTAGTGTAATCCATGCTGTTCTTTCCTGGCTTCTTCGAATCAAACTTTTTTTCATTCTTTTTAATACATTTATTTTTATTAATTCTGTATGTTCGTTTATAAATATCATATCTTGTGGCAGCACATATTCTTCATATTCTTCTGTTTTAATTGAAGTTATTATAACTACATTTGTTTTTTTATCTTTCGGTGATACCACCAGCTTTAATGCAAATTGTGGTTTCAGTATTGTAAACAAATTATGTTTATCACATTTAAATTAGATAAAATAAATTTTCTTTACATGTATATATATATATATATGATTTTTGTTAAATGTTCAAGATTTTCTCCGCAAAATTGTATCAACATATTCTAAGAGTAAAAATAAAAAAGAAAATGTTACATAAAAACAATTTTTTAAATATTTATTAAAAATTTTCCAGCCTACTTCGAAAAATAAGAGTGAATTTGATCGATAAACAAAACAATTGTTTCTATGTTAGACTGAAAAGTTTTTAACTCACTCGCGTATATAATAATTGATAATTATTATATATATATATATATACAATGAAATAAATAAAATTAAAAAGTTAAAATTTTAACGTTACATAGGTTTATGGGATATTACGTTAATTTCTTCAAACCAGATTCATTTGTGTGTCCCTTTTTTATTTCTTTTTTTCAATTCGATCTGGTTCATTCGAACGTACCAGTCAAGGATCACAATGAACAGCCAGATCAAGGTAATCCTTCGATCTCAAGACTGACCTTGCAAACGATCGAATCGATCATTTTTTTTAGCTCGTGTTCCGAAATAAAAAAAAAAATAAAAAAAAAACAAAGAATTAAAAATAGAGCAAAAGAAGAAACAATACACACACACACAATCGTTGTTATCACATAATAATATTATATTTCTATTTAATTTTCTTTGATGAATTTTATTAAATAAATAGTATTATACCAATGTCTTCCCTTTTTCTTTCTTTAAACGAGTACGGGAAGTTTCAATATTTCCAAATTTTCGTTTGTATATTTTTCTTAAAAATAAAAGAAGAAGTTTTAAAAAACCACATCTTGAGTATTAAATACCTACACGCATAAGTAAAGATTAGTTGCATATTTTATCGTGCGTAACACATAAAAGGTTAAATCCGCTTTCCTTCGATGATTTTACGATCTGATTGTCAGAAAATTAATACAGTTTTACTTAAATACACAGTAATATAATCAATCTTTAAAGTAGTACGTTTAAAAGAAATAAATTGACATAACAACAACAACAACAACATCTTCAAATTAAAAATGTCTATATTGATTACTTAATATTAATAAAAATAAAAAATAAAATATTAAATTATTATAATCCATTTGAAATATTATTTGTGTATATCTTCTAATTAATTTCCTCAAGTCCCAAAAAAAATTCATAATTTAAGAATAACGAGGAGAAAATTGTTTCCTTTATCTCGATTTGTTTTAACAACATATTATTAGTGTCTTCTAATCCTAGAAGAGAATGTCCTAACGAAACGAGAAACAAAGCCATCGTGTGCCGAGAGATTTTTATCGCACGCATTGGATAAGCCTTTTAATGATTTCCTTTAGGACACGAACAACCCCACCATGACTAAGAGTATTATGGCCTTGTACATTCTAACCGTATGTGGAACACATCACCTATGTAAATACTTTAATGCAAGTAAGCGATGACTGACATTTCCGAAGATGTAATTAGCGGGAGTTTGTAATTAAGAAAATTCTTCGTCAACTGTATATATATATATCTTAAGAATGTTCAACATTGGATAAATCAAAGAAAAAAAAAGTGTATACACATTTCTTCTACTTATAGTGTCTCACGGTACGATCCCTATATGGGTCAGTTGTTCATATGGTGTCTCTTCATGGGGTAGGGGGAATTAATCTTGAGATTAATAAAAACTTAAAGACTATATATTTTTATAATATTAATTTATAATATTTAAAACATTTCATGAATTTAGCGGTAAAAGGATAAACATATGGATGTGAGCTTATTATTAGAGAAAGAAAATGAAAAATAAGGAGGTAGAAGAAGAAAAGGGGGTTGACAGAATTTATTTACGAGAGTGGTGTGCTTGATAAAAAGTGGAAAGAAAGTTCGAGGTTTTTATTTCTGGTTATGGTAAGTAGTCACTTAGTTGATAAACTTTTGTCGTGATTTTTTAAAAAGATTTACGTCAAGATTTATTCATACTTAACACGGAACAAAGTACTATTATTAATATGAAATAGAAATGTACTGTGTCCAATACGCAGGAAAGGACTAAAAAAGTTCTGAGTCAAGCATAAGAAGGACTGTAATAAAATTATACTAGTTATACATAAAAATTAAGAAAGTGGGAAATAAAAATTACACACGCGCGGAATACATAAAAGTATTTTATATATATAATTGAAGAGAGTCGTTTTCCTATTATTATTATACGTATAGGAGGATTTAAAAGTCCTAAATCCAATATGTGAAGGGCTAAATTTAGGTTAAAAAATTTACTTTTGAATATCTACTTTAAAACGATAAAAGTACCAGTTACTTGTACATAGTATCAATCAGATTGTAAATTTATTTAAATATTGATATAACTACTTAATCAATATTAAAAATTAAAATATATTATAAACTAATGATTATACGTTATTAGATGTTTAATACATTTACTTAAGGATTAATACAAAATTGCATTAAATGATGCATTAAAAAATATATAATTTCATTAAATGCGATTTTTACGTATGGTTAGCAAAAAAAAACCAAACTAATAGCATCATACTATACGGGGTTCCTTAAAATCATTCAATTAAATTGTCTATAACATATTTTTCTTTTACCGTCAACAATTTCTAAGATATTTAAATGTATCTAATTAAATGGGACACCTTGTATATGTGTGTAACATGCGTAGAATATATATATGTAGGTATATATTTGTATAACTCTTGAACGGGTAAGAAGGTTGGTCACCTTTGGTAATAACTGAGAAGAAAGGCAGTTCGTGACGAAAGGCTGCACCGACGTCGTGCCTGTCGGCTGGTCAAACCTAACGAGAGAAGAAAAAAAGAAAAAAAAGAAAGAAAGAGAGAGAGAAAAATGAGAGTCAGACGAGAGTGGACGTTGTAAAAGGGGGAGAAAGAGTGGGGGGTTTCGATCGTGGTAAGCATTTCACTAATTAAAGTTCCGTTGCGCCTTGTCGAAGGCACCGTACGTATGTTCATTCTTTGCTTTCCTCGTTTATTATTTACTTCCTTACGTTTTACAATACAATTATTCTCCCTTTTTTGTTATTTTTTTTTTATATTATTTTTTTCTATTTTTTTCGATCAATATATATAATATATTCATATATATATATGATTTCCTTTTAATTATTAATCGAGGAATTTAAAA